CCCCCCCCCCTTACCCCCCCCCCCCCCCCCCCCCGGTGCCACAAGCGTCTCATCCACAATCATCTCCAAATGCGGCATAAGTGCGAAAGACAGGTTTTTTATAAAGCAATAAATAGATAGGCCCTCCCTCGTGGATGATACCGAGTATTTAAAGAAATATTTATGCGGCAAATTCAATCAAGTGTGACATGAAATTTGGTCAATTTTCATTTTCTTAATTTTTATTCACCAGTTTGGTCAAGTTGAAACATTGGTTAGCAGCCTTACTGACGAATTCCCACGTATTTTGAGACCTAAAAAAACTATACTGACAGGCATGGTGTGCTTAATACAGTTTCTCGTGTCCCTCATGCTTATTACTCAGGTAAGTCTGCTAATGCTTAAAGGGATAACAACTGTTCATTTCGGCCAAAAATGGATTTTCCTGGGGCAAAGGACAATTTTCCCATAATTACCAATGGTTATTGAATCCATTCATACATTCAAAGTTAGTCCCTGTTTTTTTTTCTAAAAAGTTTTTTTTTTTTGTAATATTCTCTTAAGAGACTATTACAGAGTGTAGCAATCTATGGAGGTCACATGATGTGATGGCAAACACAAATTCCAGAATAATTGCGTTAACTGCCGTTTTGGCAGTAAAATACAATTTATTATATTTCTATGAGTTGTTTACAATGCATATGTTGTGAAATATGGATATCTTACGAACAGTTGTTATCCCTTTAACTTATCGATTATTAATACCGCATATAGGCCAACTACTGTTTACATCGGACTCCGGTTTTATATTTAATCTGAAAAAGTATAAAATAAAAAAATATTAAAGGCACTCCAGCAACTTCACACCGTGCTGGCTATACATATCATATGCATCAAAACGTATGACTATGCAGAGTGGAATTTGTTACTATTTTAGTATTCATCTTCTGGCTGTTCCAAATGGTTTCCATTCAGATTTAGTGGAAAAGTATCAGTAACTTATTTTTGTGCGATGTTCTCAAGACTCTGTGGACTCTTGGGTTTTTGCCATAAGTAAATGGAAAGGTTTTCGTTGGACGTTTCTAAATTTGACCTACATGTCATATTATTTTACGAGGCTCCCCGTTATTCCAGGGCGGCGTTTACATCCTGCAGGTGATGGACTGGTACTGTGCTACGCTGTCCCTCCTGGTGATCAGTGTGTCTGAATGTGTGGTCATTGCCTGGGTGTATGGTAAATAACCATAAATTATGGCATTCTCTACTTTGCTGTGAAAACTGAGAGTTTTATTTATAATCTCTTGAACGCTTTCATTTATTTAAATGCGTCGTGTATTTGCAAAAGATGGCCACTAATAAGAGTAATAAACATTCCAAGATTGTATTTTTATAACTGTTGTATTTTCTCTGTAATATTCTTTACGCTATGCGAAGATTTTTTTTTTTTTTCTGGTGGATATTTCAGGTTTAAATCGTTTCTGCAAAGATATCACTCTGATGGTTGGAAGACCGCCGCCATTGTTCTTTAAAGTGTGCTGGCTTGTTGTGACACCGCTTTCCATTTTAGTAAGTTTTGCTTTAATTGAAGTCAAATAGTATATTACATGTACAGTAACTCTATAAATGACCCAAAAATCGCCTTTCAAAAATCACGTAGTGTTATACTTCTCAATATAGGTGTATGCTCTGGAAAGGCGACAGGTATTTAACAGGGGCGGATCCAAAGATATTTTCTGACAGTCTTCCAAATTATCTTTGTTGATCCATCCTCTAATTATGACCGTCTTCCGGAAGACCCAGAAGACGGCCTAAATCCGCCCCTGTTTAAGAATCGTCATCGTACATTGACAAGTTTTTGAAGGCTGAAACAAATTTTGAAGTACGTTTACCACTCAGAGAAGTTACGCCATTATAGCTTCATAAGTGTGACCCATACCTGTTGTTTGATATGAGCAGTTCTAAGACATAGTCAATACTCTTTTTGGGTAACTTCTCTGCTTTAACTGGGTTGCAATAAGATAAATTCTGCAACCGCGACAACTTATTTATACATACATTTCACTTTTTCAGTTTGTGTTGATATTCAGCCTGATAATGCATAGTCCGGTGTCATACGGAGACTATGTATACCCAGAATGGACGTACGGCATTGGCTGGGTCATTGCGTTGTGCTCCATTCTGCCTATACCTTTGCTGATGGTAATTCAAGTAGCCAGAACTAAGGGATCACCTTTGCAGGTACTTAACATTAAAGGTCGTTTGCAAGAAAACTGATAAGCAATATGTGTTCAGCGTTTCATCGTACCACTCGCTGGGTGTGATATATTCAAAATCTGATATTGATAAAAACACCGGGGTTCTTAATAATCGCATTGATAAATGTTTTTTTTTTTTTTTTTGTATTATTTACAGCGAATTCGAGGTTTAATAAGGCCAAGTCCTGAATGGGGACCTTCCTCAGAGGAAAAAAGAGAGATGTACCGAGTAGCATACCAGACCCACAGCGAGACCAAATTTTGAAGAATTACAGAAGTCGATTTAAAGCGGGATGTTGATCACGATAGCATTTATTTACAAGGTACAACATACAGATTTATTGAAACACTTTTGTACATTATTGAGAATATAGTGGTGCACGTTCAGTTCATATAACAGCATCTGAAAAAAGTATGCTTTACTTATGTAAACCAGGTTCAGAATATTACAATTATTAAGTATTAATCTGGTAAGGGTCGTTTTGTCTTTGCTTAAAAATACAGACGATGGCACCCGTTAAATGTGACTCCAATTGTACATTTTTGTAATCAGATCTGGGAGAAAGTGAAGGTGCACCCATGTCTGCTATATATCAAACGCCAGTGTCGTACATCAGTGGAGAATTCGAAGTTCATTGTTTTATGGACACATTACGCAATCAGGTTTTGCTTCGGACGTAAAAAGCAATCTAGTGTTATGTACAAACAGAATAATACACATAAAATGAACACACAGTTTGATAACATTTGATTAGTAATACGATTTTTGACCTCTATAACTTTATCCATTGTGAATATGTTTACTTTTTTTCTTCGTACATAGTCTAATAGAGTATTAGATTGGAAATGTTATATCCATTTCTATCTTACTCCAGTGTATATACATGTTTTTGTTGCTTTGATGTTCATATATAAATTCATTCAAACAAACATTATTTAACATTGCCCACTCATCGCAATTTATGTAGATGTACACATGTAGAACGCCGCTCAAAAGTTTATTCCAAAAATAATCAAGAATCCATATCGGCATTTATGCAAAACTGAGCCTCCCAACATTTTCAGGATAGGCTTAATAACCCAACCTTAAAATCATTCGACTTTACATTTTGTATTTTAGCCTTATTTCACATCTGTACACTTAGATATTACACAAACCTTGCATAGCTACTTGAATAAATGAATCCTTTCGAACCTTGATAAGGATCGTTTCCCGTTACACCACTGTTTTATATTTCTATAAATATTTTCAGTTTGTATAGAATACACTGTAAGTTCAAACGGGCTATGCGTTACAGCACAGACTTCCAAACTCCAGGGACACAATTAGACATAATCGCTAGAGATGATTACTTTCCGAAACCTGCAGAGGAACGTAATTTGGTTTTATCCTCAATCTCACCATACGAAACAAGTTTAGCTCTCCTCAGCATATCGACTTTAGGGTTTTAAGTGCTTAACTGCGTCGCATTTACTATACCCGTCTACCTCAGACCATTTTGCCTGAATTCGACAAAAATGGGCACAAATCTCCAATTCAACTTCACGATAATGTGAGACATAACTTGATTGGATTTTATCTTTAAGACTGTCACACATCCGACGGTATTGGCGATTCCGGCTTATGGTAGGCTGCCGCAGCTGTGCTGTCCCATCTGGTCACAGTGGAACTATATGTCGTCTGCTCAACACAGGTCCGTTTTAGGGTGTTTTTTGACTGACGGTCGCACCAACACATACAAAGGGTTTGCTTGAAACTCTTCCTGAAGTTTTTCGACATGAAACCGTAAACGATTGGGTTGACGCAACTGTTGAAGTAACTCATAATATAGAACGCCTGGCGCATTGGCTTGAGGTAGCCATAATTTAGACGCCTTAGAACACCCACTGCGGTCAAGAGGTTGTTGAAAAGAACAGGTCCCCAACAGATGATGTACAATACTATGACGGCAACTAAGATTTTGATGACCTGAAACAAGTCAAAACAACCGTTAGAGCTAGGTGCATAGTATGGATGGATCAGGACAACCTGTTCTGATGTAAAGAACGGAAGTTGTTTGCACCTTGTCAGGTAACTTGAGAACTTTGAAGTTACATCTTAACAAGTTTCTCGGCAGGTATGACCCACAGGAGGAATAGTTTTGCTACCGATCTACCTGAGATCTGCTTCCTGTTGTTTAAGAAATTGAAACATCAAACTCAAAAACATTTTAATACTTAGATCTTGGAAATGCTTTCCGTGTAAAGATTAATTTCAATCATGGGCTCTTGATGTTGAAGAGAGCCTCTTTAATTTACGTGTATTGAAGTACGTTCATTTATCTTACGAGAGGTACTTGATTTAAAGATCAACGGGACATTGTTTAAGAATACGTATAAGTAGGTGTAAGTTATAAGTATTTCCACCTAGTTTGTGGCGAAGAACACCGATAAATTGAGCAAATAAGAACTCAAAGCCATGGTAAACCACATAAACATGCTACCAAAAAGGGGAAATAAATATGCATCGTGCTCTTGAGTTACACACAAGTCTCCTAAGCGGGAAACATACCTGCTTTCGCGTAGAAACATCTTCAGCGTTTGGCTGTCTGTGTCCCACTGCGGAATTTTTTTGCCTCTTGTTCTTTTTCATGTCTGTCATTGGAATCGATTCCTTCTTACAGGGCAGTGAGATTCCGTTTGCTCTAACCGAAAAAAAATTATATATTCTATTTTGAAACCCTTTTTAAGTACAATACAGCATGGCTGGTCTTTGAGACTGAGGGTGTTTGTAATGTTCAAAACGACAACGTCCACAGCAAAGTTTTATCTGACCAGTATGCATATTCAAAGAACTAGGGCACGACCTCTAAATCTTATTCCTGGTAAATACGCTGCCAAGACACATCCGTCAACAATTTATTTCCCCACAGTCTATTTTATGTGTGCAAAACAGGGTGCTATATTGCCATCAATGTCCCACAAACGCTCACATAATTGCAGGATAGTTCTGAATCATTGCTTAGATTGTCTCGAGCTTGAAATATCAGTCAATATTAGGTTGTCAAAGAAGCGTCGGATCTCGTATACCTTAGGCGCTTTCTTAATTCATAAGTTGAGAAACAAATACCGTTACACTGAAACGGTATCGTCGGTTTTATTAAAAATAAGGCGTACCATAGAGGGTATTTTTATAAGAAAAATGCTTCACGCACTGTTGTTTTTTTACTGTCACTACAGTCGGAATAAAGTTCTCGTCTAAGTATTCTTTTTCTCGCAACGGCGGTGAACCTTAGCACAACCCTTGTTATTCCACATTGAAATTTAACGCGATGTGGCTAAAATAAAAATAAAAAAGCATACTTACTCCCCAGACCTCATGGAAGCCCTCCGACCAGTGACCACCCACACTTCTGATATGATGTTACAATAGGCAAACACCATAACTCCCACCGGGATGCAGAAGATGACCAACAGCATGTAGACTTCATATAGGATATCCCAGTGCTGCGCAGACCAATCCTTAAGGCACCAATAACCAACAACTGGGGGTTTTCCGACTTGTAGGTGAGTCTTAAAGCAAAACGAAAGAAAAAAGAGGAATAAAGTAACGGTTATACACGAGTACAAGACCAACAAAGGTCTTTATATTTTCGCCTGTCAAGATACTTAAAATTCTATACAAATTTCGATGATATTTTTCCAGAAAGGCGTTTTTAGGAGAGAAAGATTCAATTACAATTTCAACTGAATCCGGGTCTTATCACTGACGTTTTCCTTAGCAGAGGTCTGAGCTCTTGGCGCGTTCTTTACCTCTTTAGATCATTGTACATTCCGACCCACCTGTCCTATGAGAATGGGGGTTGCCATCACGAACGATGCCACCCATACGGCAATGCACACCAGCTTGGCGTGACGTTTGGTGCAAACATGCCGGGCCTCTATTGGATGTAGAATTGCGTAGTATCTGTTGAATAAATGGGGAAAAATAGAAAAATAGGTTTAGCATCAACGCTTGTCTCTGTAGGGAATAGGGAACTAAATTTGTTGATACAAAGAATCAAGATATTTTTTTTTAAAAGTCGCATATAGCATTTGCCAAGAGTAAATGATGTGTTTTTTATGGTACACTCTGAGATAATCTACATCGCTCGGCTGTCTAGGCTATTTCATAAATATTTGTACGTTCACATCTATAATATTTTTATCACGATTAATACAAAACATAAGTAATCGATTGTGAGTGTGCGTGATCGACGATGAATTTAAGCGAATGCGTGCGTCTTCCCTGTTTTCTTGTAAAAAATACCTCTCTAGGCTCATGGCGGTCAGCGTCAAAACGGAGCAGATCATGGAGACATTCTGCATGTAATGGACCAGTTTGCAAACGGCCTCACCAAATTCCCAGGTGAACGAAAAATTTACTGCAAGCTGCAAAAATAACGTAAAAACAACAAATAATGCAAGGTGAATGAAGCGTTTGTAATATTTTCTCTTTTAATTTGCAAAGTCACCGATAAAACAGACGATACTAAGTGCACTATATCAAAACATTAAAGTCAATAAACTAACACCCAAAAAAGTCCCTTCAAAAGGAAAATAAAGGATCACTGTCACAAACAGTTTTTGTTATTGTTTTAGGTTCAGAAAGCACAGAAATGTTTAAGATTAATTTTTGCCTGAAAACTTTTATCCACACAATAACATAACAAACATGTGGTCGAGTGCAGATCGGAAAAATAATCCTCTAAATTGCGTGTTCTGTCAGTCTGATTAGTGCTGGAAAGACCGCTCTAAGAGTGTGGTTAACTATAATCACGGTTCCTCTTTAACATTAAAAAGATAAACGAGACAACTAGAGGTGGTTTTGATTAATTGCACCGAGTGATTTTCTCACAAGTACAGCCATTTCAATAAGTGACCACTCTTGTGCATTGGAGTCAAGAAATGAAGATCCGTGGAGATTGCATCTTTTGATCTTATTCGTGTTTTACAAGACAGATAAAGCAGTCATACTTAACACCAATTCGAAAAGTATTGTTTTCCACCCTATTAATTAGACATGTTTTGTATCGTTCCATCTACTCGAATACACGTTGCGGCCAATGCATTAGTTTTATTGTCTCCCATTGGCCATGCCTACCGAGAGTATAAATTTGATATTGATATGACACAGAACCGACTGCACAGAACACACATAAAATACGATCTACATAAATTGTGACATAAATTATACAATTTGTCCTCCAGAGACAAAAGTGGATTGGGCTCAAACACCGCCACGGGATGGAAAAACGATCGCCCCTATGGGTATCAAGATAAGACGTTAACTTATTGCGCTTTCTGTATTACAAATGTAGGGATGCCAAGATCATTGGAGTTAAACGAAGAAGCAATCAATACAAGGAGCGACTTTGTGTCAAAAGAATCACCAAGAAGGAAACGCATCGAAACGATTTCTTAATCAAAGGAAGAGGCGGTTCCTAAATGACACTTCCTTATTTCCACATTGTAATCGAAAAAGTTGCCGTTGTCCATACAAAGGACCTGTGCTGAGAATATGTATAATGACAGCGAAGAATTGGCTTTTGGCTTGCGGATATTACTTATTTCGAAACAAAAGGTCACGAACACGAACTTTCCTCGCCTAAGAACAATATGTATGCAAAATTCTCTGACAAGATGCTTAGGTTTGATTATTATAGACACAGCAGGGCAATACTTCATGAAAAAACAGCAAAGTATTATTTCTGGCTATTGTTTTAAAAACTACTGGCATACGCCTAACAACGAACCCGTGCAAGTAACGGAATTATAGTGACCCGAATGATTACCAAGACCATGGGACAATTGCTGACCATGGGGCAATTGGTGCAATTGATGACAAGAGTTTTTTCGAATTGTTCATATTTCTGATGCTTTGCAGGTATATTGGAAACCAATGGATTGGTCGAAAAGATAAAACATAAACTATCGTTGGAATTATATAGTACGAGGATATTAATTGCATTATTAGGAGCGCTGCTTTCATTGATAATCGTCATGGTTAATGTTGATTTTGGCAACTTGCCTGACAGAGAGAGAGAGCAGTTGCTATAAATGAAAGTACCCTTCAGTGTCAGAATCATAAAAATGAATTAATCTAATTTTTTTACATTCTGATTGAAACATTAAAGCTCATCCGTGTGTTGTTTATGTATTTCACTCCACGTAGTGGCATTCTGACAGAAGCACCTCACAGAAGCACGTGCCTATTCTCTTGCGCGCAGAACACTTGCTACAATGAATGTGCTCGTTCGCAATCACACACCTCTTCATTCGCATTAAATATGTGACCTATCATCCGTTTTGCTGTTTGTACCTCGTGCTTCTTCAGCATGCAACTGGTTTCACGGATGAAAAGGAACTGGGTTTCATTTCCATTTACATGGTTTCACAAGCTATACGGAAAGATTTGTTTATTCGACAATAGTTATCACATTTTTTAATGTCCATAAAGTGCGCCCAGTTTCCATTTACATAATATTTGCATAATATTTTTTATATCTCAACGTTTGTATCACAATCAGGTAAAAAATTCCTAAGGTTAACTTACCCTTATTTACCCAAAGAAATACTTAATCGGGCATTTGATGACCAATACCCCCTTGACACTTCTGACATTCTTTTAGCAATTTTGATGTACCTTTTACGTTCTTGCAGCAATTTAGACTCATTATCCCTTCTAGCGCGAAGTACCGAGTACCAAACCAGCTGCGTGAAGAGCTGATCATCTCCAAAATTAGGAATATGCTCACATTTTACACTCAGTAAGAAAAACACCCCGTAGCATTATACTTACGATAACTGAAACATAGCAAATAACTGTTGACCCCCTACGTTAGTTTGGTCGTCCTCGAAACTGGCTAGTTCTTGTAATCGTTATTCTGTACATGATTAAGCATTTGAGGACATTTATTTAATGAACGTCAAACCTATACGAATCTTAGTGCACTTCTGCACTACCAGACTGGGGGTGAAAATCAATTAAAGTGATCATAGGCAACTTGCGACATAACTTCAAAGTAAAAAAGAAGATGTGACAATTAGTGCATCAAGTAGAAGACTTCAGCCAGTTCTTGGTTTGCTCGATTTGGGAGGTGTTTACCTCAATGAAATGTGTGCGTAGTCATTTTTTATAGAATTTAAGGGTTAGCAATATTTGGAATGCGAACTTTTTAAATTCTAAAGTTTTGGTGGCTATAGAGATTAACGTCTCAAATGACAGACCATTAGTACTGTGCTGAAGCGGGAGGGCGTGTCCCTTATATCAGGATTAAACCTTAACAGAGCTTTGACATTGTTTTGATATTCCCATTGAAAGTACTTCACGATTCAAATGCATTTAGTCTTCACTAGTCACAGGAAATCAGGTGAGTTCATCCTGAAAACTCTGGAAATCGCAACAGCAGAACCGTTCGGTAGCAGTCCCCAATAATCATGTCATTAAGCGGAGCCGTGCAGAGAAAGTTATTTCGCTTCGGAAAATCAAAGGGTGGCTGTCTAATTTTTTTAAAAACTCCTTCATAAGTGGTTTCTAAAAGTGTGCTTATCGTAGGCAACGGGAAAATGGAAAAAATGGAAATCAAGGCTATAAATAAAGAGATGCTGGTAACGACGTTCTTATACACGTTATAAGCAAAATAGTAAATAATCTCGACAACAAGGCCAAGTGCTGATGAATTCATGCTCTTTATAAACACAGTTCAATATATAGATTCCCTGGAAGGCATTTTGATGGCTAAATGTTCGCGCAAATTAACCATTCCCTTGATCTTTTAATTTGTTTGGAAGATGTGCATTGACGTGTATGTGTGTTTGTGTGCGTGTTTACGAGAGAAAGAGAGAGAGAAAGAGAGAGATGGGTATATGTATGTATGTGTGTATTTGAGAGAAAGTGATTTAAATGGTAAATGTTTTTATAACTTCCTTTTCATCAACTTTCACCATACCAAAAGACAGCGAAGCAATGTTATTTTAGACAGACCTTGAGCAATCAAATAAATAAATTGAAAACTAAACAACTAGTAGCATAGTGTTCTTTAAAATCGTGATTCCATATTAAAAGTACGCATTACTTATAAGAGTACAATACAAAATTTAGGGTTTTTTAACACTCCAGTAATCCACTGTGTGATTTTTCTCTTTTTGTATCGAAAAAGTTCATATCATCTAAAAGAAGGATAGATTTATGATCGCAAAGGCCAACCAGGTCTAATTCGTAAGGGTTAACAGGTATTCCGTACACTTACCTTTATAGGAACGCACAGTATCACCAGCAGTAAATCTGCACCCGCCAAACTCAGTAGAAACAAGTTGGTGATATTCCGCATACGTTTGTACCAGGCAATGGAAAAGATCACCAGAACATTACCAATAACTCCCAATATGAACGTTAACCCGTAAATAACAACTACAGGAATCAGTTCAGTAGGAAAGGAAAATGCGTAGTCAGAAAGTGACGTACCATTGTCTGTCCCATTCTTCGTGACATTTTCGATTTCCACTGAAAGATTATTGTTTTTAAAGTAATCAAAAACCATCTCCTCAGCCGTTGCCATCATCTAGAAGCTCTTTCCGAAATAACTTTGAATGGAATATAAAAAGGCTCTTAACACTTCCTTGCTTTTTGTAAAAAATGTTTCTTCACATTGTTGCTCAGTGTTTCTTCCGTTGAAAGAGTTGCAAAACGTGACGTGAGAGATAGACGCCGACACCTGTCTCTGGCCGGCGACCCTTGATGAACTGCTCCTTCGCTCTTTCAGTGGTGATTTTGTCACTCGATTGCCGTGACGCAATGCCGCCACCAGATTCTCTCACGCGTGCTCTAACCAAAACGTAAGTGGGGAAACTCAGCGTTTGCCCTGGTCGTCTTGAATATTAATTGGCTTGCAATTGGGCGGTGCTTGTTTGGTTCAAAGAACTATACTGCTGCGCAGAAGTCGACTAACCTGCAAGTAAACGCAGAAATCAGCCGAGTTGTTCTCATGTGTATGATTTCAAACATGTGGGATGAGCAAGCTGAGGAACAGGAGGAACCCTAGCAGTCCAGATTCTATCGCGTGTTAGAAACGCGGCCGATCTGCGGAACGACCATGTCTGATAGACAAGATAAGAGGTGCAAATCTTCCTGTCCAACCCCTCTTGTGCGCTTTGATCGATGATTGTTTGACGTAGGGAGCACGCGTCGGCTTCATTAGCATACCTCCAATGATAATTTCAGATGAACTTGATCCGCCTAAGTCAGCAGCGTGATCAGGCAATGGGGTTGGATGTCATTCTTCATTTTCTAGGGATTAGGAACCCACATTCCGCGGAATGGAAACGAAATGCCAACGAGCAGCCATCTGATCAATCCAAAGTAAAGCTACTTCAACTGCATCATTAGATTTGCTATGGGAAAACATAGAGAACAACTTGCAGATTGGGGGATATGACATTTTATCTAATTCAGTAGAGGTCCCAGGAGAACATAACGACTCTCCGTAAATATCGTCTTTTTTTGCCATGTTCAGGCTTCACCTTTTCTGAAACTAGTGCACGTAAAAGTGTCACATTTTAAGTTGCTATTAAATAAAGTTCAAACTCTGTTGTTATGGAGCTATGATGAGCAAAGAGTCTTTCGACTGCCCCAGTCCCCACCCAGATAACGCGTTTTTTAAAAAACAGGACACGAAACTGAGTAAACATAAATTTTGCCTGCAAGATATCATTTTCCGCCACCAATAAAACATTGGTTGCTGTATTTATTCTTGGTTTAATCCTTATCTAGCCTCAATCTCTACTTCCCCGTGTAGCAGATGCCGTCCTCAATAATGATCTAATTCACTTAGATTACGTACAAATGCAAGGATTCTTTTCGCCAAATTTGACTGACATATCTTTGCAATACATTAATTAACCAGTTTTATGCGTGGCTAAAACTGCACAGAGACAATAGTTTTTGGTACTTTACGTTTGATCTTGAGTTATCTTCAAATGGCAACTAGTTATCAATCTACCAAAGATTACACTGATTTTGACCGAATTTCATTCAAAATTGTTGTCAGAGAGTTTTATTGTAGACACCTTGTTCTCTAAATGGGATTTGGAATCAAAATAGATTTACCGATTTACCGCGATGAGAGATGAACGTTTACGAAACAACGTTAATTAGTAGTTTATCGAATGATGGACAAATCTTGAATGAATCAATACCAAATAGTACATTCTTGATATGAAGATTAAGTTCTGCGTGATATACCGCCTGATAGACGCCGCTCCTCATTTCCACTTTTTACAAGCTATAAAGTAAACATGTATGTACATACGATAATTCAGGGAGTAGCATGATTCGATTAAAAATTACAAGAAATGGTTCTTATTCGAGTACCGACTGTAATAACCGCTATTTTAAGTATTAAGTAAACTGGCGATTACTCTGGTAATGTCTATCACAAATGTTCAAACTGGGATGATAGTTTCTCTTTCTACTTGTGAGAAATTATTAACCTTGCAAGACAGGTGAGAACATCTCTCACTCCCGCGCCCATCATTTTCAGAAGCTCGGTATATCAGACTTTATTCGAACGTTAAATGTCTCTTCTTGGCAATAATTTTTGAAAACCTTGTATGTCAGGTATTATAGGAACATTTAATGAGAAGAACGCGGCGGCGTTATGTCTCTTCTGGACTGAATGATTAAGACGTTGAACGCTGCAAAGACTTTAGGTCAAAATTTGAGATCATTTCATGAGCACAGACCCCCACCAAGGAAAAAAGCAATTAGGAAAAACAGAAACAATAATTGTTAAAAAATATTCGACCGAGATTCAGCTGAAATTGTAATAACTTCTTTTCTTTCTGAGTATCTGTGTATGCCTCAAAAGTTTCTGATGTCATACAAACAGACATACACAAAGAAAGACGAATCAGTGTCGATATTAACATTACCTCCTTCGTTCCTAAGACTGACCTTGGTAAGGATACCTGAATATTTGAAACGAGAAATGTAGTTAATTTCTGACAAGTTTAACACCTAATAAAATCTACTTCGACACAGGCCATTTGTGAAAGCAGTGCTAAGCGATTTTTGTCAGGTGGTTCAGATTTTTCTGTTGCATGACATAAGAATATCATTTGAACAACATATCCAAATGGATGCAATATTCTACTTTATTTATTTTCAATTGAATCACTACATCGAAAGTCTTATTGAAAATAATTGCAACTAAAATCTGAAAGAACACGACTGAATTCGAAGCCATAGTTCCTTATTTTTGTATGGTTTTAATGGAGATACTATGGGCTCTTCATTACATATCTCACACACTCATCCGTCGTACAAAAAATGAAAAGTAACAAAATCTCTGAACACACGTTCAAATTCACAAACGTTGTTACAAAAGAAACCTTTTTATACACAGTGCGGAATCCGTCTTAGTTACAGTAAGACGCCAAGTTAACTGTTTGACAAGGTCAAGATGTTAGGGATGTTGCCCATGGGCGGATTTAGAGGGAGTATCAGGGGGGTCCTTCGATTTCTGATAAAAAATTGCACCAAATAACGTCTAGTTGAACCTATCGCCAAGATTGTCAATCCCTAAAAACCAGACCCCTCCCCCCTCAAAAAATCCTGGATCCGCCCCTGTTGCCGGTGATCAAACGGAACTTAAATGAAAGTGGCAATATGCCAAACTCTTTAGGCTGAGCTGTCATGACTGATATCTATGTTAACTGATCGATCCATTGCAATCACAAATCAAAAATTAGGCCTGTAATTTCACGCTTTTACGTGACTGTGCCCCTAAGGAATTTATTATTATTATTTTGTTATTTATATGAATCTATTCCGATTGGCAGTGGCAAAGAAATGAAAGTTGGGCTACAAAATTATAGTGTACACAATCTTCACATCGTTGAAAACAAACATATACACTGACATGTCTTATCCGATTCCGACACTGATTACGTTTTTGGTGATTATTATGGACGTATCAAGACATAGCGGCGATTGCTTGTGTATCTACTACTGTGTTAAGTACTAAATGTTTACACATCTGATAAAAGATACATTTATATTGGCCATGTGGTGTTTCCTCCCGCTACGAAATGGCCATCTGGTACAGGAAAGAATAAACCACATACATACATACACTATATACAGTGTTTTATTATTGGGTTATACTGAAAAGTTGCAAAAGGTGAAGACAACTTGTCTTATAAACCACTTATTTTGACAATCTCGTCACAGAATCTCGGTTTGTGAAATACTCATTTGTATGATACCTCGCTTATTACTATCTTCTCCGACATACACTCAAGCATATTGGCGAATAAATGTAGAATTCCTCTTTGGGTCCCCTCAAGGACGTGCTGAATTGAATTGAATTCACATCCTTGGTCCGCTATTCTTCGTTGTTTTCTTTCTTGTTATTACTTTTTATCGTTTTTGGATTACAGAATTTAGTTGAAACGGTCAATCAAAACAAATCAAATAGGAATGAAATACAGTAAACTGACAGAAAAAAGTTTGAAAGAGTGGAATAAAAGGGAAAAAATGACAGACAAAAAACTAAGCCGTGTATTTTTTCAGTCAGGAATGGGCCCTCACGCAGAGAGAAAACCACAACAAAGTGTCGAAAATCCTTATTAAAACCACTGTCCTTAAAAAGACACAATTTCCTGGTGACTTGCGCGTTTCTGGAAACATGAAAACAGACCATCTACAATGAAACAAAGTTGGGTAGTTATAGCATATGTAACACAACAAAAGCCTCCTTAATCAATTTTTCGTTACAGCTGCACGTTGCCGGCTTGTGGCTTCAACAGAATTCAAAGATTTTAGCAGTGATATTCAAGCAAGGATAGAAATAAGGACTCCTATCTTCAATCAGTTCGCACGAAAAGGCATCCCTGAACGGAAACAGAATCAATATGCATCACAGTCAAACGTCCATGGCAACCACCACTGCATGCAATATTGCAAAAATAAAAAGTACTAATAAAAATGTATAGGCCTACTATAGTTAGTTAACTAAAAAAAGGACGAGAAAGCGGAAAAAATAGTTGTTTAATAATGATAATGCTGAAGGCGTCTCTGTGGGCAGGAATTCATTTTGTAAAATACCACAGGATGCTTCACTTCAAACGAAAAGTGCAATCAGGCTTTCCTACTTGTCTACCAGTATCCCCATATATTTTAGTGGTAGTGACGGATGAAGAAGCCAGAAATCCACTGACATCAATGTGGACAGAATTAAAGAATTCAAGTTCCTCTGTCAAACGTTTGAGGCGACCTGCTTGGGCGACGCATTTAGATGATTTTAAAAAGTTTTGTCAAAGGTTAATAAGTGTTATATTTTTTTAAAAATGAGTTTCAAGTCATTTTAAAACCTTTTTATATCATCTGCCACTGGTCTGCCTGTTGTTTTGCAAAAGTCAGCAAAACTGCTGAACAGAGAAGGGCTACTTCTGAGACTCGGTACAGTAAAGACCGACCTTGGGAAGCTCAAGTCCACAGTGGAAAAAACGCGATAAAAGGTACCCTCTATTAGGACTACAGATTGATTTTTCACTAGATATTGACAGGTGTATGTGTCTCTATGGTGGCACTTTTCTGCACGCGTTAGAAAAGGGGCCCACAATACAAATCTGCGACGCTGGTAGAGAGCAATTAAAAGGGGGTATTTTGAAGCAATTTTCTTCCTAAAATGAAAGTAGGAACATATCAGAATTAATACGTCTACCGATAGCGTTTAGGAGTAGCATTTCGCCTACTGTCGGTTTGCTCTTGATAAATGCACGTCAACAAGTCCCGGCCGATTTTATAAAGTAGTGATGCCTTCAGAGGACATTTAGTTAAACTGTAACTGGGGGTAATCTGTACAACATATCAAACGCGTCACAGAATACAATATTTGGGAGAGTCAAGAAGTCTGGATTTGATTGACTTGTTTTGGAGAACAAACATTTGTGGTTTAAACGAGAAAAACACTTCTTTTCTGACCTTCCCAGGACCGCTCCTACCCAAGACCGCTCAACAAATTTACCGAATTTGCCATTACATAGACAAACTTTAAAAAACAATTCAAAGTCCAAGAATTAGTTAACATATTCAGTGACTTTCGAATTTTTTCGAGTCACTCGTATTCTCACATCATTTCAATTACAAGAGCTTTTACGATCATAGAGGCACTTGTCCTTATGAAAATTACATGGCAGCGCTCCAAAATAACACCGTTTCTTCTAAACATGTCAATGTCACTATATTTTACTCAGGGCCATCAAGTTGAAACACTGCATTTCTTCAGTAAGATGCAATTATGGTTTCTTCTCTCTCTCTTTCTCTCTTTCATTTTCGATGTTGGGTCTCAACCCTATCAATAAAGAAACTCAGTAATTTTTTCTTTAATAATGTAGTTTATTGACCATAAGAACCATCCTCCTGTACAAAATCAGACATCAGGCGCATCCAATTGTACAGCATATGCCACATCTTACTGGGATAATCTTCAATTTCCATGCACTTAGCCGTGTAAATTATCTTCGTCAAGTTGTGACAACAGGCATTAGAGAGGACTAAATTGAAAATCTTATCAAACGGTCCATGGAAGACGGGCAAAGAAGATGTTGCATCAACCCTGACGAAAAGTTTTCAACGATTAAATAGAAAAAAATACAATAGAAAAAATATCTTAAGGTCTTTCTTATTAATATTCACAAAATTGGTTTACTAAAAATATCACATCTGAAGGCTGCAAAAATACAATTTCAACTTCCCATTTTGACCACGGGAATGACTAGTAGAGCAAACGAAGTCAGAAATATCGAACCCCAAGGACTGGCTGGCTACTAAATATAACCCCTCGACCGTGTGTTTTCGCCAGGAAATATTGTAACATTTTGATGTACCAAATAATTGATTTTATACAAGAAGCCATTTAAGACATCATAGCTTTAGTAAGAAATCCTACATCGGCTGAACACTGCAAAAAATCTATGAATCAGACATCCATGACAGAAGAAGAATTAACGAACTAAACGTATAGTTTACATAATGTTAAAATAAATCCCTATATGTAAGCTTTGCGTAATAATTCACTGCGTCCCCACGAGGGAACTGTAGAAAACAATTACTGGTGATGTGTGGCGTTGTAACCCTGGCCAAGAGATTTGACTTTAATCAGCACAATTCTCCCAGGGAAAACTCATGAATTTAGTCATCTATCAAATCTGAATATATGCACACTGCAAACTGCTGTACCGTAAAGTCGCCACTAATACAGGCACTAGCATTGGCTTGGCGGTAGTTGGTGCAGGCGGCATTGTATTTCTCTCTTTCTCTCTCTCTCTCTCTCTCATACACACACACATTCACTCACACCAAATATAATAATCTTTTTACACGTTTTTTTTACCTCGTGTCCATAACCTAACCTGCCCTGCCTTGCTACTGTACTTATGTCTTAATAGTGTTTTTAAAATAGCAATCATCTACATTAACATTATTAAGACCATACCACCTTTTCATAGTTTTCAATTTGGCAATCATTCATTCAATCAAAAAGTAACCTTTGGGTAAGTAAAGCGATCTTAAACATTTAAGATAAATAAAACGTACACCCTTTCCATTACAGTATAAACCAAGAGGACCAGCCCACTTAAAAGTTTATACTCTGCATCAGCACTACTCTTCAGTAATCAGTAATAATTAACTCATCAATTATACCCCAGTAACCCACCCTCTAGCCCACAGATAGGAATTTACCTCACTGGAAATAGTGTCTGAGACTGCTGCATATTTGCAGGTAAATCTTCCCTGCTGTTACACAAGTCTTTGATTCTGAGATATTTCAGTGTTCCAACACAATTTATATTGCAGCCACTTCAACTGTAAACCTCATTGCATGTGAACTTCAACTTATAAGCTGCATTAAGTTGTTGCTTGATTTTTTTTTCAGTGGCTTTCAGTTAAAACAATTCATTGCTGAAGTTACATGGCTTTGTATGATGTATAAGATAATGTGTCCTTAGTGTGACTTGGCCATAATCAACATTACATTATACTTAAGCTGGTTGTAAATATAATTGCACACTACCTAACAAATGCTGATACAAGTACTGAGAAAGGAAACACATAGCTACATCTATTACATGACAGATATGCATGAAAAATATATCACCCATTTCCTGAACCTATTCAAGCCAAACAAGACCAGCTTGGTTAATTTTTTTATGTATATGTTTTTTTTCTCCGATTAAAATACTTGCACATTTATATATATGCCAACAACAATTTCTTGCAAACAGATTATAATCAACTGATGTTTTACTGCAGATATGTGTATTTACTAAGAAATATCACACAGCATCAGGCATAAGAATGATCAAATATAATGCATCATTAAATATCTGACACAGTATTTTTCTATACTGGAACTTAAAATCCCAGTAGTTTCACACAGCCATCAGCTGAATACGGAATCTTTTCCATTCACCATCAGATTCTTTACGTAATGTCTGTAGTTGATCTTCATCCCTGAAAAAAAAAAAAGAAAAAAATACATTTAACATAAGGATAGATCAATGTCACTTCTGACCGGTGTGAAATTTCAGAAATCTGGAGCTGCCCTGTTGGTAATGTGTGTTGTGGCTTTGCTGGTCAAGAGATGGCTATCAGGAATGTATTACCCTGCCAGGAGCTAATGTTGTGGCTATCTTTTTAACCAGCAACAGGGGTGGTAAATGAAAGGCAACACTTTTCCCATAAACACTTAAAACCAAGAAGTTAGAAAGAAATTAAGAGTGTATAGATCAATTTCTTAAACAAAGAAATAAAAGAGGAAAAAATTAAAAGAGATTTTTTTACCTTGCTTCCTCACTGCCTACACTTAAGTGGATGTGGTCAACTGACTTTAACAAGCGTATAGCAAGACGGCTCTTTACATCCTTTACAGAGTCAGAGCTTTTCACTTTCATCCTTGAAATATAAGATAAGACATATACAGGATTTTTATCATTTAGTATCGGCGGTTCTAAATATAACAGGCATATGTTCTCAAAACCAATTAAACCTGTAATGTTTGTGCATCTATATGCCTGCTGGGGTCAGGAGTAACAAACTAAGAGTCCAAATATGATGTTCCACTAAATGTTAATTGAAATGTATATACCTCCAAGATTTCACAAAAAAAAAAGAACTCATGTACACACATTTTCTGATCTGAATATGAGCACAAGCTGACAAAATAATTACAGGTCAACAGTTTCAGTTGAAATCTACAGTTGTCCATGTGATTTTCCCCCCTCATTTTCACAAACAACCCATGGCATTATAATCCAATGTGACAGACTCAAATTACAAGGTCATAAAGCATGCAGACATTCCCTTTTCTTTCTCTTGTTTTGACAGTAAAATCAATGTCACTAGTTGTATTCATTTTTTGTGATCAGCAAATTGAAAATATGTGAAATAAGTAAATTAACTGACACCAGTGTAGTAATTCCAATCAATACTATTTCATGCAGGAATGTAATTTAATAGTGGTTTTATGCATGACATATTTGTCATTTGACGTGTAACCCAAGAATACTGTATTACAATCACCAAAGTGGAATAGAAAGCAATCTGGCAAAATAAATCAATTCTGAGAGTAAATGGAAAGATTATGTCCTTTCTACCACTAAGACACCAAGTCTGCTTTTAATGAAAAAAGAACATATCTAAATAGTCCTATAATGTTGTGTTGTACTAATAAATCCAGGTGGTGATTATTTTTACAACTATTCTGCAAATTGTTTTTATTTAATGATATGAATATTGCTGATAAATTGGACTATTTTGTTTTATTGATCTTACATTAATTAGTTAATTAATTAATTAATCATTTTTTATCTATTTATCTAGTTTGAAAATATGTATAAAGTTTCACGAAACTTTTATGATAGGTTGAGTTTCAATTTAAAAGAATATGCAGTCTCACAGTACATGTACACGGTATATGTATAAATCTTTTATCTTCACACAACTGCACTTGGTTAATTACATCATGTCATGAATTCAGTTGTATATATTAAACTTGTATATATTTCAAATATATTGTTTAAGTATATACTAAACTGATTAGAGCTCAGTGCAATATACTGAAAGTTTGCAATTCAAAAAAATTTAATTATTGTATTCTGGTTGCTTTTTAAAAGCAAGTAAGTTGATTCAAGAATAAACATCAAATTAACTTGAAACCTAATTAACTCTGTGATAAGATGCTAATAACTGTTTTGTCAAGAAATCTACTTTTAAACATCAAGACATTAATTATGGTGGCATGGTAATGCATTTCCAAATATCTATGTTTGACAAAATAAGAAAAAAATCTTAATTAATGTAATTTTCAATAATACGAAATGTACCTTTCTTATCAAAGTAACAAGGCAAATTGTCTTGGGTATCATAATGAAAGCAGAAAAATCTGTTTTATTTCACAAACTAATGTTTGTTTAATTGTTTCTGGTTGGCAGCTGAATGTGCACGCATTGAAATTGGATTGTATTGGAAGGTTTTGAACTAAAATGAGTTCGGCATATTATGGCATTCAAATTGTCTATGAGATAAGAACCTCAGCAAGTGAAAACATTTCCATGTATTTTAAAGTAATCTCAAAAAGGGCAATATGTAATTGACTTATGCTGCACAAGGCCATTCTTAAAGTCAACTCAAAAATGAAAAAGGGTGCCATGAGCCCTGATAGTGTTAGTTAAACAATTTAACTTTTAACTTTTTATGTGGTACAAAATTATGTTGAGGCTGGATTTATTAATATAATCCAGTACCACTCTGATAAACAAAGAAAAGGGTTATGCAAATGGCAATTAGATCAATAGAAAACAGAACCCTGTGTGTACCAAAACTTAGAGTTGCCCTTATTTCTACATTAGTCATTAAATACAAAAGAACTCACCCTACAACTTTTTCCTTCTCTGAAATTTCAGCTTCTGGTTGGACATCCTCTTCCTCCTCATCTTCTCCTTCAATCACAGGCAATTCTGCATCTACAGAACATACATGTACAATGTATGTGTAATTTAACAATAAGGGATAAAAACATGTTTAACCTCCTTTAACTTCCTCCTATACCAAAATAGTAACCTACCTAATGACTGCCAATAATTCTATTGATTGATTAAATGGACAGAAAGGATTGTCCTAGATTAAGTTTTTAATAATGACTTTGCCAGAATAAGTTTTTAATTATATCCTTATTGGTACAAGCAATCCATCTGTGGTATTGATGTTTAGATAAATGGCATCATGTCCCCAGAAGACCAGTCTAATATGTTTATTTTTAAATGAATCTTGGCACCAGCCCCAAATGACAGTATAGACTATAGTAATGTTCAATTTTAATTTTGTTCACAGTACATTGTATCTACATGTTCAAATCACAGACCAAAAGGCCACCATACACCACCCCACCCCACCCTTAAAAAAAAAATTATAATAACAAATAAAAATTTGAGAACTCAAATAATTCATAGAATAATCCAGCCAGAAGAATGCTCTCCAGACACATAAATTGTGAAATGATTTGTCAAATTGGTGCTTTTGTGAAAGGAAGTGAAATAACTACAGAAGGAAAAGATTGATCATGTGCACATCCAAAGTAAATCAGATTTCCTCAGACTTAGTACAGCTAGCTCTATTACAGTATATACACAGTAAAAGGCATCCTTAGACTAGATTTAGTCAAGCCTTTTAAATGACAGATTTCAGAGAAATGATCAACAAGTGGATATCTACCTTGTTTCACAAAGATTAGTTGATAATAGACGTGATGAGGTTGTCGGAATGACTTAGGCCAGGCATAACCAATTCCCTGGGGTTTATCTTCTTTTGTGTGCTTGTCAAATCTTGTATCTCTGGCATTTAGACCCTTTCCATATACATAATATAATTTCTTCTTTTTTGCACTTTCTGGGCCTTTGTTGACATAACAAAACTTGAAAGAATCTTCCTTTTGATAACCAGCATCTGTAATCAGACAGGCACACTAAGACCACATTCCCATAGACACCATTGGTCTATGTAAATTAATCAAACTCTTTGGGGACTTTTGTTGAGTGCAATCAGCTCTGACTGGATGACATGCCTCCCCATGGCATTGAGTAGAATATAGAAAAGTGGTGATTATAAGGGTACATTGGAAACAAGAGGAGGCGTTGTACTCAGCAAGAGTCCCTGCGCAGTTGCACTGATCTACTAGGTAGACTGATGGTATCCATGGGAATGGGATCTAGGGCTTTTTCACATCTGACTGTATATTTTTTCTGCATTGTACCAGTTTGATTGATCCTAGCATTAAATTACATTATAAATGGGGCCTGAAGGTTATTGCCTTTCACAAGCCCCTATGTAAAAAGATGTGGTTGACTAGCTGTGTCAAGTGTGAGGATTCGCTTACATAATAGCCAGGCATAAATTGTCAATCTCTCAAACTGGCACAATATAAAAAAAAAAATCAAAAAAATATTTTTGAAGAAAGAAAAATCTGTACCACTTGATGTGAAAAGGCAAAAAATTAAGTTGATAAACATTGTGATTCCTACAGCTGTAACTGAGTGTACAACTAACACAACCTGTACTACCACAACAAATTTTTAATATTAACAATAACACATTCATGGAGTTAAAAATAGCGAAGTGGATTGAACTTACAAAAATGTATTTAAAATAAAAAAAATCTGAAAGAAATATTAGATAGTATAGTATATTGTTCTGCATTATTCTGTAGTGTGTAACTGTATTGGGACGTCAATGCGATCTGCATCTAGTGCAACTGTATACATTTTGCACTTATTTTGCAGTGCTACAAAAACTAAATCTTGATAATGATTCATTGATAACTGTTAATAACCTTTAGTATGTGAGAGCAAACACTGGTAGCATGAATATCATAGTTTTAATGTAGTTCACAAACATACTAGATACCTTCACTATAATCATTCAGTTTGGCATGATAAAAATACCCATGCTTCATCTGTTTTTTGTCTACTTCATGTGGTTTTTCTGTCCTTTTCTGCTTCTTCTTGGGGGCAGTCTCATCCTCCACATATCTGTATCTCACAGTGCCATGATTCAGGTCCATTAAATTGGGTGCATCTATGACTAGGGTCTGGGCAAATGAAATGAAAATCATGTTTGTACACTGTGTATTTTGTATGATGCAAAAGGCATTTCTCTTGAAATAACCCTACTTTTTCAAAGTGAACATGGAGATTCCTCCTCATGACTCAAACTGTGGTAGGTTTGTAATCAGGGCTCTTAAACTGAAAAGTGCTAAATGAGAAAGACTGTGTTGCTGTGATTTGTACTAGAAACAGGTGGGACTCTGCTTTGAGGGAATTAATTGATAGAATTCCAGCTAGTGAAGTTACAGAAAATGTAGAAAGTGATTCACCTTCTCCCATGAAACCATACAAAAGAACCTTAATGCCAGAATCTAATAGTGAATGCATGAGGCTTGTGCGAAGCCTGTGTAGTATGGGAAGGTACCAACCAACAACATGTTGTGCATCACCAGTACATTTATGCAACTACTAATAAAAATACTACATGTAGTATTATCTTTTCCTCAACTCTTTTTACATGGCTTTCTTTGATAAAAGAGCTACGAAATGTTTCATGAATGAAAATAGGGTGAGCATTCAACAACAACAACAAAAATAAATAAATAAATAAATAAATAAATAAATAAATAAATAAAATAAAATAAATAAATAAATAAATAAATAAAATTAAGTAACAGCTTAAGAGAGTACCAGTAAGTTATGTTCTACATGCACAGTACATGTACTGACTGGTATTTGCATGGAATTTCCATCTCACCTTCCCTTCTTTTTGGGCGAGTTCATCCGTGTACTGGACCCTGGGGTTCACGGGCACACCAACTGCCGGTCCTTTGCTCGCACCAGCCCCCATATTTGGGATATATCTTTTATAAAACTACCGAAAGATAAGGTGCGCTCAGATGGACTTACATTTTTTGCTGGTGAAATTGTTTATGACAACAAACATGGCGGAGCGCATTTTACGCATGTGCTAACTTTCGCTCCTCCAAATACGAGAGAGCCGAGCATGGGTGATCGTTCTAAACGTTATGAAAAGATTGACTTTTTGGGAGAGGGACAGGTTTGTGAATAAGTTCAACTATATAAAATAGGATATGTTTATGTCAAAGTATATGAGTGGCAGGCTTATACAACCCCTTCATGTCTTAGTCATAATTTATCCTTTTACTCGGAGTAGTCCACTCCACTAGATTCGAAGCTCAGATGGCAATATTCTCAATTGAGAAACAGTTTAGCATAAGTTTATCTAAAATTTCCCTAGTTAAAACTGCAAAGGAAATATCTTGACGAACAACACCTTCACTGATGTTGCCAAAAAAGGGGAAAAAAGATGTTATGGCGCCATTTACTTCGTGAAGAAATCATGTTTGTTTTCTCTTTTAGTTTGCAACAGTATACAAGGCCAGGGACACAGGATGCAATGACAGAGTAGTGGCAGTGAAGAAAGTAAGACATAAGAGTAAATTTTGGGATGAAATCACCTCCAGTGTACAGTTGATATTTAGCAATAATTAAAATTTGCTTAGCATGCATGTATCAGTAGGTGTGGGTTGAATCATTAAAAACAATGAAACCAATCATTACTATAAAACATTTAAAATTCATTGTATAGCTCCTTAATGGAGTACTCACTGCTGTTTTTGAAATTATTGGAAAATTAAACAGCTCAGCAGAGGTATAAAACATTTCACTTTAACATCTGTAGTAAATGCAGTCATTAATTCTTAAACAATGGTGTATTAATAATCAAAATGATGCTTGTAATTCATAAGTCTCTGTCGAATTAACTTTGATTTGCTTTACACTGTTAAAACATAATGAGTGGTTATTGTTTACAGATCAAAGTGGGCAGCAGAAGAGAGGCTGCAGATGGAGTGAACAGGACAGCTCTGAGAGAAATCAAATTTCTACAGGAACTTAGTCACACTAATATCATAGGGGTAATAGTTATAATAAAACTTTATCACATTGAAACTGTATTTTCACAAAGATTAGTTAAAGAAGTATGTGGATTAGTTAAAGATTAGTTAAAGAAGTATGTGGATTAGTTAAAGATTAGTTAAAGAAGTATGTGGATTAGTTAAAGATTAGTTAAAGAAGTATGTGGATTAGTTAAAGATTAGTTAAAGAAGTATGTGGATTAGTTAAAGATTAGTTAAAGAAGTATGTGGATTAGTTAAAGATTAGTTAAAGAAGTATGTGGATTAGTTAAAGATTAGTTAAAGAAGTATGTGGATTAGTTAAAGATTAGTTAAAGAAGTATGTGGATTAGTTAAAGATTAGTTAAAGAAGTATGTGGATTAGTTAAAGATTAGTTAAAGAAGTATGTGGATTAGTTAAAGATTAGTTAAAGAAGTATGTGGATTAGTTAAAGATTAGTTAAAGAAGTATGTGGATTAGTTAAAGATTAGTTAAAGAAGTATGTGGATTAGTTAAAGATTAGTTAAAGAAGTATGTGGATTAGTTAAAGATTAGTTAAAGAAGTATGTGGATTAGTTAAAGATTAGTTAAAGAAGTATGTGGATTAGTTAAAGATTAGTTAAAGAAGTATGTGGATTAGTTAAAGATTAGTTAAAGAAGTATGTGGATTAGTTAAAGATTAGTTAAAGAAGTATGTGGATTAGTTAAAGATTAGTTAAAGAAGTATGTGGATTAGTTAAAGATTAGTTAAAGAAGTATGTGGATTAGTTAAAGATTAGTTAAAGAAGTATGTGGATTAGTTAAAGATTAGTTAAAGAAGTATGTGGATTAGTTAAAGATTAGTTAAAGAAGTATGTGGATTAGTTAAAGATTAGTTAAAGAAGTATGTGGATTAGTTAAAGATTAGTTAAAGAAGTATGTGGATTAGTTAAAGATTAGTTAAAGAAGTATGTGGATTAGTTAAAGATTAGTTAAAGAAGTATGTGGATTAGTTAAAGATTAGTTAAAGAAGTATGTGGATTAGTTAAAGATTAGTTAAAGAATTGTGCAGAAGTGGGTAACAAAGAAGCCCCAGACTGTAAAGGTACATTTAAAATCGTCATAATTGTATGCTGTTTCTCTCAACACTTGGCCAATAATAATTCCTCATATATGTTGATGTTTTTACTCGGCAGTGGCATTTTATAATTTTTGTCAATACAGAATATCCAAATGTATATATTTATTTCTGAAACTTTTGAAAATTATAATTTGAAATGATGAACAAATATGGTGGTGTCTTACATGAACATTTATTTTGCAGCTTCTTGATGTTTTTGGACACAAATCTAACATTAGTTTGGTCTTTGAATTCATGAACACAGATTTGGAGGTAAAACTTACAGAATGTTTACACGATGTAAACCGCATTCCAACATACAAATGCTGTACATTTAGTGTAATGTAATATGTAATTTGAATGTCATTTGATTAGAAAAAAAAAATTTACTTATTATTCAGTTTTTATGAGATTTTCTTTCTTAGTTTCTTGATTGCCACAAAAGGCAGTCATTGGTATTCTGTAAACCTTATCCAGTCTCTGCTTGAAAATCTGTAAAATGCTTTTCTCTTTCCTCATTGCCAGGTTATCATTCAGGACAGTAATATAGTTCTCACCGCTGCCCACATCAAGTCTTATGTTCTACAGACAATACAGGGTCTGGAGTACCTCCATGCTAACTGGATTCTACACAGGGTAACTTTGTCTTAAAAGCACAACGATTATTAGACCTTTGTATTGTGAACACTATTTTTCTTGGAAATTTTACGCTTATCACAAAAACTATTAACAAACTTGTGATCAATAAACCTTTTTGAGCTTTAATTTTTGAGTAACTCTCAAAAAGCAGATGGAGTCTGGTGAATTTCACTCTTTACTGTCAAAATAGAAATTTAGAACTCAAAAATGGGTTTTAGATTGTAATTTTCTCAAATGTTTTGGAGGGGATATGCTTTTGTGATTAAGGGCATCGTGTTGAAATTTCTAGGAATTTTTTTTTCCTTTTTGAAGATCTTATTTCAAACTTAGAAAGTAATTTCAATGTATGAAGTTGTACTTATGGTTCAAAATACTGCTGTTATGTATTTGATAAAGAAACTTTCAAATTGTGGAAAATCCTGTTAAAAATTAAATTATTTTTTCTTTAAAAATTGTGTGTGTGTTTGCGTTGAATGTGTGTGTGTTTGCGTTGAATGTGTGTGTGTGTGTGTGTGTGTGTGTGTGTGTGTGTGTGTCATATAAGTATTTTTGACCTTTAAAAGTGAATACCCATCATGTCCAAAATACATTTTATGATTTATGATTTATTTTAGGATATGAAACCTAACAATTTACTTATAAATGATGAAGGCGTGGTGAAAATAGGAGATTTTGGCTTGGCTAAGTTTTTTGGTTCACCAGACAGGTTGTACACCAATCAAGTGGTCACACGGTATGTTTGTATATGAAAAACAGCTGAAACAATTCTTTTGCATCATATAATGATAGTTAAAAATGACAGAACTATAATGAGATTTTAATGCACATCCTTAATTTGATAAAAAATTGAGTGAACTTTTGCCTGTTAATTGCAGTCTATTCGATAATTTTCTATCACCATTCTACAGCAGTATGTTTTCCCAAAACTGATTTTTGATTATTTTTTAGTAAGCATGCTATTTATTTTTATTATTATTATTTTTTTTTTTTTTTGGGGGGGGGGAGAGTCGGAAAATCATAATATTGGAGAATATGCAAAGGAATAAATTTGTTGATGTATATACGTATTATCTGTTACTGTTTGCAGGTGGTATAGATCTCCTGAGCTGCTATTTGGGTCCTGCAGCTATGGCACAGGGGTGGACATGTGGGCCATGGGTTGTATTGTGGGCGAATTACTGTTGAAAGTAAGGAACAATTTATGTGGCCATGTGTCTGATTCAGTGAATGAATTCCTCAAAATCCTGCCCTTCACCTTCACATGATTGATTTTCCACTAAACTGTCAATATTTTCAAAAAATGCTTTCTGTTTTGGTACAGCTTAAGATTTAACACAATATTGTGCTTTGGAAGTTTTTCAAGTTGTTTATCATATCATTTGTTTTCCAGACCCCTATTTTTCCTGGTGATTCTGACCTTGATCAAATAAGTAAAATTTTTGAAGCACTGGGAACTCCAAAAGAAGATGATTGGCCAGTAAGTTAAATTTAATGAGTATGTTTCAGACTAGATAATGAAATTAAATAAAAAAGTTTAAAAAAAATGATTTTGAAAAGTTTATTTTTATGGCAGTGTTGAATGGTTGGAGCATAATGACATCTTTACCCTGATTAGGAACTGTGTTGAATAATATTTGTTAAAAAAAGCTGCACTACAAATTTATCTCATTGCTGTTAAAACAATGAGACAATGGGTATCATTAAGAACCTTATTTTATATTATTAAAAGTTTATATTATCTTAAAACTCCAATTTAACATCTAATTCCATTGTAGACAATGAAGTATCTCCCTGATTACATCCAATTCAAGGAGACGGCAGGGACTCCTCTCCATCAAATTTTCACAGCAGCCTCTGATGATCTCATAGACCTCATAGCTTACATGCTAGCATTTGCACCCTCCAGGAGGTGCACTGCTACACAGGTATAAAGAGGGATATGATTTAAAGAATGTTAGCATGTGTGGTGGATTAAAGCCCATGTTTTAGAGTGGAAGGGGCCCAGTTCCTTTTCATTTTTTTTTTTTTTTACATTTCCATGCCCATTTGAAGGGTCTGAACCTAGGTGGCATTTGATTGAAATATCACCAGTAACATCTCATTGTTTGACTTTTATAATGGCTTCATGCACATAAACCTCATCCATCAATTGTTTATCAGGATACTATGCTACCTGTCTCTTTTGGTGAGCATCCTTGTTTCATTCCAGGCACTTAAACATTCATACTTCAGTAACAAGCCAGCTCCCACACCTGGGCACTTACTACCTCGCCCTAACAACACTCAACCTCCTACTCCCAAGGATGAGAAGCCAAATCTGAAAAGAAAACTGCAGGCTGAAGCAGGTAAGGATTGCTCTCCATGTCACACCCAGTCACAACTACCACATCTTGTGATGTCATGCAGTAATATTTTTACAATGATTATAAATATATAAGATAATGTTAAATTATACCATTTAAATATAATTTAATGGTATAGTTTGAATATAATAAAATAATAATAAGTGTAACACCATTTGCTTATTTTGTTGGGAGGTGGGGGTCCTTCAGGTGAAATAGACTGGAATAAATGAGTTCTGTGTTTTATTTTGGGCATTTTGGCAGAGATATAAGAGAGCCCAAACTTTTGTTTTAACCATTATCTTGCATTTTACATATATAACACTGTATTGTGGAGTTTAAAAGAAAAAAACCATAGTGTTAGAGGAGAATTGTTAACTCTTGGGATTTATTTCAAAAGTATATTATTACAGAAGTGCACTAGGATGTGCTGCCATGTGATGTTCACATAATAGTTGTCAAAAGCTATTTCTGTTGTAGACCATTGCTATACAGATCCTGTTGCAAGAAGCTGTCAATTTTTTCTTGTTAGATAATTTGTATCAAACTCATTAGAATTTTAAATCTGACTTAGTGACACCCTTTCTTGTCAGTCACACCTGCCTTGTCACCTGCTGTGGTGTCAGCAGTTCTCTTACATTATATAATCTGTTGACAAGCAGCAGGGCCATCTGAGGGGAAAGAAGCCTTTAAAACAAGTAATGAGCACAACTGGACAAACATGACTTTAACGAATATTAGAAATGAAGACTGTTTAGCAGATTATAAGAATCACTTTATTGACTCACCATTTTACAGATGTTGCAGTTGTAAGATGCTGCCACCTAGTGGCCAAATATACCTGACCTGTTGCAAAGTTTGAAGGCAGTTGTTTAAAAAATACTTAGCTTCGAGTTTCTTCCGAACTTGTTGACATCTTTGTTTTTATTTCAAACTGGTCTAATCAATTATATGTCTCCATTATTTCTACAGAAGCCATTAAAACAAAAAATGCCGCAGCGATAATTGCCACAGGAAGCAACACTGTAATAATGAGTCAACAAACAAATTGAAATCAAACAAAGAATTATAGGAATCACTTACCTATTTGCATTTCTAATTACTAGATATAGTCTTCAAGCATGAAAATCTAATGGAGAGTCTTAAAACCTAATGAACAGCATACATTCGATAATGAAGTTGTTTGATTGAGTATTTAAAACCGATAGCAAATGAAGACTTGAAAAGTAATAAAAATCTTTGTCAAGTCAACATTTTATTAATACCTTAATAAAACTGGTGAGAAAGAGCAGATGTTTGTTTTACACATAGTGAAATTGTTTTTCCCACTCTCTATTACTTGTCTAATTTTGCCCTTTGCCAATCGATAGAGGCCATTGAATGAAAGGCATAGACACCCATAGTAGATATTGTATCAATTTTTACACAATATATGTTTGCCCATTGTTTTGATGTCCATGTTATTTGGACTTGTAGATTAGCAATAACAACCAGTAACATGGATAGTACAGACACTACTTGCATGATCCATGGTTTAACACATTTATCAAGCAAGAGTAGAAAAGATGCTATGTGGATAATTTCAACCAGGCTCTGTTTTCTTTCCTGTGGAGTTTTCACATTTGGCTGGCTGTAAGTTCCTAATATACGTTTAAGAAGCTGAAAGGGTATGTTACTGTCAATCTTTCTCATTTGGTGACCAGGGCACTTGAGTGAGGATGGAAAAAATAGGCGGCAACTCTTGATACTGCCCTCTGGCACTGTTCAATAATCAATCAAGTAGGACGTATGACAAAATGTGATAATAAAAACTTGATTGATTGTCATTTATAGATGAATTGATCTGAGTTGCACAAGTTTGTAAACCTCCTGAATTTGCAACTTATGTGATGATATAACTTTTAGTTACTTAGATTTAAAGCGATGAATATATCTAATTACTGGGGTTTAGTGCAATCAATTTTGTAAACAAATAAGAAATGTGCTGATATTTTGTCATATTATACGTAGTAATTTTAAGCTGTATTTTAGGATTGATTTTAATTGTCACTACAACAGCTGACATATATATGGAAGCCCTAAAAATGAAAAAAAAAAAAAAACCCAGCAAAATACTTTCAAATAAAAGAAAAATAGAATTTCCTAGACAACGATGAGATATAAGCTAAAGCCTCCAAAAAAAAATGAAGGATTACTAACTTACAAGGTTGTTTTCAAAAGTCAAAGTTAAGATGGTCTACAATGCAGTCAAGCAGACATGAAATTGGAAGATCAATAAGCCGTGATATGTTGTCCTGACTGTTTGTCAAGTTTGACCCTATCAAGTTACACTCTCTTACATTTTATTTTGTTTCATGTAAAATGAGATGAATATTTTATCACTTTATGATTGGGTTGTAATTAGATTTGGGGATTATGAAGTGTTATCAACTCTATTGACGCCTTTTGCGACAATTCAGTAATGAGGCAAAGCCAACGAACACAATGGAGCTGAACATAATAGCCTATTTGAACGTAGTTTTATTGTTTTGGAATAATGTGAATAGAGTAGTTTAACAGTTACATAAACATGAGAGTCTAATTATAAAGAACAGAAAAATATTATTGCATTATGAATAAAGAAGAAAGTTAAAGAGCTTCAAGAATATATGTATGCCTAATACTTCATTATGATTAATTGGGATTCCAGCTATATGATGGTAAATTAGTATTATGATGTCTATCTATAGTCATAAAAGATTGTGATATTTGTAAGTTTGAGTATTGAACAAAAGACATCATTTACTGTATGTTAAGACAAGTGGTAAGGGACTTCAGTGCTTTAATATTTAAACCAGTTAATTTCATACTTTAGATTTACAATTATTCTTGTTTAATTGTAAATATTTCTCTTGTTTAAGTCCCTACATAAAATGTAAGGTATGCCTTCTGAAAGAAATATTACAGCTCTGGCGTGTTTGAACTGTGGGTCACTACAATATGGGATGCAGAAATATATCATAGCATGCCAGTGTTGGGTTCCAGTGTAGTAACATCCGGATATGGTGATCGNCTAATTATACCATTTAAATATAATTTAAATGGTATAGTTTGAATATAATAAAATAATAATAAGTGTAACACCATTTGCTTATTTTGTTGGGAGGTGGGGGTCTTTCAGGTGAAATAGACTGGAATAAATGAGTTCTGTGTTTTATTTTGGGCATTTTGGCAGAGATATAAGAGAGCCCAAAACTTTGTTTTAAACATTATCTTGCATTTTACATCTATAACACTGTATTGTGGAGTTTAAAAGAAAAAAACCATAGTGTTAGAGGAGAATTGTTAACTCTTGGGATTTATTTCAAAAGTATATGATTACAGAAGTGCACTAGGATGTGCTGCCATCTAGGTGATGTTCACATAATAGTTGTCAAAAGCTATTTCTGTTGTAGACCATTGCTATACAGATCCTGTTGCAAGAAGCTGTCAATTTTTTCTTGTTAGATAATTTGTATCGAACTCATTAGAATTTTAAATCTGACTTAGTGACACCCTTTCTTGTCAGTCACACCTGCCTTGTCACCTGCTGTGGTGTCAGCAGTTCTCTTACATTATATAATCTGTTGACAAGCAGCAGGGCCATCTGAGGGGAAAGAAGCCTTAAAACAAGTAATGAGCACAACTGGACAAACATAACTTTAACGAATATTAGAAATGAAGACTGTTTACCAGATTACAAGAATCAGTTTATTGACTCACCATTTTACAAATGTTGCAGTTGTAAGATGCTGCCACCTAGTGGTCAAATATACCTGACCTGTTGCAAAGTTTGAAGGCAGTTGTTTCAAAAATACTTAGCTTCGAGTTTCTTCCGAACTTGTTGACATCTTTGTTTTTATTTCAAACTGGTCTAATCAATTATACGTCTCCATTATTTCTACAGAAGCCATTTAAACAAAAAATGCCACAGCAATAATTGCTACAGGAAGCAACCCTGTAATAATGAGTCAACAAACAAATTGAAATCAAACAAAGAATTATAGGAATCACTTACCTATTTGCATTTCTAATTACTAGATATAGTCTTCAAGCATGAAAATCTAATGGAGAGTCTTAAAACCTAATGAACAGCATACATTCGATAATGAAGTTGTTTGATTGAGTATTTAAAACCGATAGCAAATGAAGACTTGAAAAGTAATAAAAATCTTTGTCAAGTCAACATTTTATTAATACCTTAATACAACTGGTGAGAAAGAGCAGATGTTTGTTTTACACATAGTGAAATTGTTTTTCCCACTCTCTATTACTTGTCTAATTTTGCCCTTTGCCAATCGATAGAGGCCATTGAATGAAAGGCATAGACACCCATAGTAGATATTGTATCAATTTTTACACAATATATGTCTGCCCATTGTTTTGATGTCCATGTTATTTGGACTTGTAGATTAGCAATAACAACCAGTAACATGGATAGTATAGACACTACTTGTACGATCCATGGTTTAACACATTTATCAAGCAAGAGTAGAAAAGATGCTATGTGGATAATTTCAACCAGGCTCTGTTTTCTTTCCTGTGGAGTTTTCACATTTGGCTGGCTGTAAGTTCCTAATATACGTTTAAGAAGCTGAAAGGGTATGTTACTGTCAATCTTTCTCATTTGGTGACCAGGGCACTTGAGAGAGGATGGAAAAAATAGGCGGCAACTCTTGATACTGCCCTCTGGCACTGTTCAATAATCAATCAAGAAGGACGTATGACAAAGTGTGATAATAAAAACTTGATTGATTGTCATTTATAGATGAATTGATCTGAGTTGCACAAGCTTGTAAACCTCCTGAATTTGCAACTTACGTGATGATATAACTTTTAGTTACTTAGATTTAAAGCAATGAATATATCTAATTACTGCGGTTTAGTGCAATCAATTTTGTAAACAAATAAGAAATGTGCTGATATTTTGTCATATTATACGTAGTAACTTTAAGCTGTATTTTAGGATTGATTTTAATTGTCAC